ATTTAAAATTGTTATTGAACAAAACTTCGAGCAAGGGGGGAGTCACGCTAGAATCACGGTAGAGTCACGCTAGAATGACGGTAGAATCAGATATTTTTATATATATACAAAATTTGTTTCTTTAAAATTTTCGTTAAACAAAACTTCGAGCAAGGGGGGAATCACGCTATAGTCGCGCTAGAATCACGGTAGAATGAGAATTATATATATATAATTTATTTCTTTAATTTTTTTGTTGAACAAAATTTCGAGCAAGGGGGAAATCATGCTAGAATCACGGTAGAGTCACGCTACAATCACGGTAGAATCAGAATTTTTGATATATACAAAATATGTGTCTTCAAATTTTTTATTAAATAAAATTTCGAGGAAGGGGGGAATCACACTAGAATCACGGTAGAATCACGTTACAATCACGCTAGAGTCACGGTAGAATCATAATTTTTTATATATACAACATTTGTTTCTATAAAATTTACATTAAACAAAATTTCGAATAAGGGGGGGAATCACACTAAAGTCACGCTAGAGTCACGTTAAAGAGATAAACGTGTAGATTGGCACCTGCTCACAATTTTAGGTCCGAATTAGTAGGGCTCCTCCAAAGGCATAAGGGCTTTGTAGGTACCACCCAATTCTTTTGCCTTCAATCAAGGATAGACCTTTTTATATATATAACCCCAACGAATTAAATATAACAAAATTTAGGAAAATACGATAAAAATGTTCGAATAACAAAGATTTTTAATAATCACATTTTCTTGCAATTTTCGTGGAAAATGCGACGCAATAAAACGGAATCATTAATTCATAAGATATTATTTGCATTATTATTAGGCAGAATAGAGATGTTAATGCACCTTGCCGAATATAATCAAAATATTTTCCAAAAATATCTTTGAAATTAAAAATGTATCTTCATCAAATTTATTACGGAATACATATCATTAAATCAACGGAATTATTCATAAACAATATTACCAATACGGCGGAAAAAAAAAATGCTTGTAAAAATCCGACATATAAGAATACAAATAAGAATATTTTTTCGCCCTATATAGTTTATTGTTTTTTTCGCCAAACATTTTTTATTAAAAATCAATTCCGTCCCATAATAATTCATCAATTTCAACAATATAATCATATCCATAAATCTGTAAATAAAATATAAATATAAACAAATATATATTTTAGTAAATTTCAAAAATAATAAATCTATTATAAATTAATTAAATATTTATATTTTTTTAAAAAAACATATTATATTAAAATATAATATTATCAAATAAATATATATTATAATTTATTTATTATATTATTATCATTTGTATATAAATATCTTAATAAAAAATATACCCAAATTAATTCCTTTCTTTTTTTAAAAATGAAATCCAATTAGTTTCTTCCAATTCCGAATACAATTTATTCTTTACATAAACCTCTATTTCCATTCAAACATTCAATGCCAATGCCCATTACTTAAATAATATCAAAAATCCTTAATAATATTAACAATGCATTATCCGAAATCCACGAAATCCACTACATTATCAAATCCCATTTTCATTATTTTTCGGACCCTCGCTTATAACCATATCCCCCGCCAAACTCTAGCTATATCCTACCAATAAAATCTTTCCATCCCCAAATCCCCATAATTCATTTCATTCGCCTTAAAAATTCAAGCCTCACCTATCTAACTAGCTTTCGTAATAGAATACAAATTTACAATTAATTCGCGAACAAATTAACGGCAGAAATTTTTAAAAAAATATAAAAAATAGGTATATAAAAAATTAATTCGCCGAATTACGATAATCTTTAACAAATCAAATTAGAAACGACCAATAAAACAAATACGAAACAACCACCATCAAATATCTCGCAAGAAAAACTATTCATACATTTTGCAAAATATAAAATAAACATAATTCAACCGCATACTAAAATTATACTACAACATCACCAATTCTTATCTTCCAACTCCCCAAATTTTCCGTATATTAAAATTGTACTACAAAATCGCCAATTCTCAACTTCCAATTCCACAATTTATCCCGCGCACTAAAATTATACTAACAAATCGCCAATTCTCAGTTACCAGCTCTACAAATTACCCCGCATACTAAAATTATACTACAAAATCGCCAATTCTATTTTCCAATTTCCCAGGTATTCCGCATATTAAAAAATCGCCAATTCTCAACTTTTAACTCCACAAATTGCACCGCGTACTAAAGTTATATTAAAAAATCGCCAATTCTCATCTTCCAGCTCCCCAGATACTGAAGTTATACTACAAAATTACCAATTCTCATCTTCCAATTCCCCAAATATTCCGCATACTAAAACTGCACTACAAAATTACCAATTCTCAGCCTCCACAAATTGCTCCGCGTACTAAAGTTATATTAGAAAGTCGCCAATTCTTATATCCCAGCTCCCCAAGTAGTTGTACTACAAAGTCGCCAATTCTCATCTTCCAGCTCCCCAGATACTCCTCCGCGTACTTAAATTATACTACAAAGTCGCCAACTCTCATCTTCCAGCTCCCCAGATACTCCGCGTACTAAAGTTGTAGTACAAGGTCGTCAGTTCTCATCTTCCAGTTCCCCAGATACTCCGCGTACTAAAATTGTACTACAAAGTCATCAATTCTCAGCTTCCAGCTCCACAGATTGCTCCGCGTACTAAAGTTGTACTAGAAAGTAACCAGTTCTCGCCCTCCAGCTCCCCAGCCTACTCCACCTACTAAAGTTGTACTACCAAGTCACCAGTTCTCAGCTTCCAGCCCCACAAATTCCTCCACGTACTAAAGCTGTACGCATGGAGGTTCACAAAATGCTGCACCTGCCACGTAAACTAGAGCTATTGAAACTAGAGCTAAAGCTCTTGAAATTAGAATTTCCTGGAGCTAAAGCTATTGAAAATAGAGTTACCCGGAGCTAGAGTTCTTGCAACTAGAGCCAATTAGAGCTAGAACTTTTGAAACTAGAATTAACTAGACGATGAGACGATGAGTAGTGTATTATGAGTGGTGTATGATAAGTGGTGTATGATGAGTCGTGTATGATGAGTGGCGTATGATGAGTGGTGTATGATGAGTGGTGTATGATGAGTGGTGTATGATGAGTGGCGTATGATGAGTGGTGTATGATAAGTGGTGCGTAATAAGTGGTGTATTATGAGTAGTGTATGATGAGTGTATGAGGAGTATAATAAGTAGTATATGGTAAATGGTGTATAATAAGTGGTGTATAATGAGTAGTATATGATGAGTGGTGTATGATGAATGGTGTATGATGAATAATGTATGATAAGTAGTGTATAATGAGTAGTACATTAATGAGTGGTGCATTAATAAGTGGTGCATGATGAGTAGTGTATAATGAATGGTGTATTAATGAGTGGCTTTTTAATAAGTGGTGTATAATAATAATTAGTGCAAAAACAGTTCCTAAATGTCCGTAATCCGTAACACGGAAGTTTCGTTCACTAACTTTAAATATATATATATATATTAGGCGAACATAAATTCTATGCGAATACGCATTCAATTTCGTAAACACTCTCCCCGAAATTCAATCCAAATTCATGGATTTAATTTCATATCAATTTCGATTTTCTATAAATTTAATAAAATTTCCAAAAACCTTCATAATACTAATATATTATTCGACAACCATTACATCATTCGCATCACCAAACCCCCTTTTATTTTTCGGACCCTCGCTTTAAAACGCTTTCCCCCGCCAAATTCTACATCCATCTTACTCAACGACCACCCCACCCCCCATATTTCCTTAATTCATTTCGTTCACCCTAAAAGCTCAAACCTTACCTATCGACTAAATTTCGATAATACATTTGTTACAAAAATCATTAAAGCAATTTTAATATTATAGCAAACCTAAATATTTTTAATATAAAAATCTTTCCAAAAATTAATATTAGGTCTAATCTAAATATATATTTTTTATAAGCATATAAATAATCGTCGCATACCTAATTTATTAAATATATCAAATATCGGAAAATATTTTATTATATTTTATCGATAAAAAATATACAAAAATATAAATATTAAACATCAATAATATATAGATATATATAGTATTTATAGAATACGTATTAACTTTAATCAATTACAAAAATATAGTTTCTATATGTTCATCAAAATAAACCCATAAGTCTGCAAAACGAGCGCTTCGTAATTCTTCCAAAATTCACCGTCAAGCCTCCAAAACGAGCGTTTCGCACAAGGCTTCCTCCACCACAACTCGCAACCTCACGATTCCCTGCTCCCACGAAAACTTCCATCTCCACACCTCCAACACATACACAAAGTACTGCACTTGCTACGAAATGTGACATCCACCACACCTCACAACCTCACGATTCCCTGCAACTGTCTTGAAAAGTGCACTTCCACACCTCAAAACCCGCACAAATTAGCACCTGCCACGAAAAGTGACAATATCATATCATGTGAGCCTCACCAATTTTGCGTTTGGAATGATTTCGACACGTTCTGAGCACGCTCCCATCCACCAAAATTGCTATCTCAGCACAAAAGTTCAGCTTCGATGCAACACCTTGAAACACAAATCCCAATGTCACAGCCACATCCAACACCCCAAAAACACTCTCCAAACTCCAACCCAATGTGACTGCCTGCGCAGAAAACTCACCATCACGAAACGCTGCGCCTACGCAGTGATTTCATCCTCCACTCCACACTTCATCGTCTCGCGTTTCCACATCCACACGTTTCCTCGCTATTTCACACGATTCTGACACGTCACGCTTCCATCCCAAACCCTCCCCAAAAGCTTCGCCCAACGTCACATAGCGCTCCACCTGCGAACGGTTGCGAACGCTCGCGAACAAGGCGCTACCCCCAGACCCCCAGAGTTAAACGAGAACCCTTCGCTACGCATTGGGTAAAAACGTGTCTGAATATATAAATAGAAATTATTGTAACCTTTCTATTTTCACATGTTTTTACAAGGTTTCTGCTTTAATCAAACAATGGATAAAGTTTTCTCAGCGTCCACGTCCAGGATGCGCTGCGGCGAGGCAAACGGTCTTCAGAAATACGCGATCCAGTTGGAAGAAAGAAGAACCACGCCGACGACGCTACTTTCAAATGCCAGAATGGAGTCTATCCAGAGTTTTGTTTCACAGCTGCCTCTGAGGAAGAAACTCCAATTTCAATTTCGGTCCATCCCATGGGGCGGTCCGATTCGGGGCACTACCTTCATTCAGCTTGTAGCTTTTGTGTAGTTTCACAGGACCAAGCCCTATCCCAAGTTAACCCTGTCCAACCGCGAAGCTGGCCGGGTCGTTCCTACAGAAGCATGCAGTAGCCCAAAAATTTTCTTAGACTTTAAATTCGAGCGACGCCGGGACCTATCTTCATTCCGTTCTTAGGTCACACACGCATATCTATACAGTAATACAAAAAAACGTAGAGATCGTGAGAGTACCTTTAATTACGACATCAAGCTTTGTATCTATAGCGTGCGGAATTTCCCGAAATCACTTAGCTTTGCAGCTGCTACTCTTAACTTATCCTCGCTGACGGCGTATACTTCTAAGACCCATGCGAAGCTGCGTCAGCATCATCTGTTCTTGCCTCGTTTGCTGTAACCATGGCTGCCTGGTACTTTCCCTCTCGTTGAGAAATTTTTGTTAATTTTTCACGGTGATATTCAGAATACACACGCTACTCCACTTTCGCTGCTCGCTATTCCCTGCTTCTTCTCTGAGATTGCTGCTTCACGTTCATCTTGTACCTGACCTGCTCTTGCCTGGAAGTATGCCTGTTGTCCACGCAGCATGTCTGTGAGGTGGCGTATAGCAGCTTTGTCCTCTGCTTCGACAGGTTCTTCAGCTTCACGTCTGCTTCTGAGAACAGCATCTCTTTCACGCACATTCCTGAACCGAAGTGCTTCCAGTTCAGCTTCTTGCCTTGCGTGCTCTCCGGGCTGCCTAGCATGTTGTTGGAGCTCTTGTCTGAGAAGCGCTTCGTTGGTTCCCGGTGCTGCCCTGCTTGGTAATGTTGCGCTTTGTCATGGCCAATACATTTTGGGTCGACGGCAGGCGCATCATGCCACCGCATGGCTGAATAGGAGTTGCTCCACTAACACTTCAAGGTGTGCCTCAGGAGCAATATGGGGTGGTAAGCCAAACACGTTTGTGGTACCTCTGACAATATAGCTTCTTGGTGCTATTGCTTCACTGCCTGATTGACTGGGTACAATGTAAAACCCATCTCATAACTGTTGGTCAATATCATTGTCCTCGTTGCAATCCATAGCTCTCAGCCTACGGCTGATAACCTGTAGTTTCACAGGATCAGCCCCTATCATCCCCTATCCAGGTTAACCCTGTGCGCCCCTAAGCTAACTAACCTGTTCGCTGTCAGACTTGAGGGAAATCCACCCATGGGTGTGAGAGGAAAATCAACACTTCGACACTTCGTAACTGCTTGTAGAATAACTTTTTGTAACTTCCTGATCATTGCTGCAAATATTCTAACTGCTTGTAGCCTACCTCACCAGTCCCATCATTGTGCACCTCAATAATCAGCAGCCCAGCCTGCATGACTTGGTGTGACGAGATGTAGAGCTCCATGTTCAGCAAGTGCTTGGTGCCTGCCGCGCTGCGAGTGTTCCTCCGCTGGAGTGTTCCTTTGGATCCAACGAGGCATGGACCTTACCCCGGTGGCCGGGTGGCCCGAACGCACCGAACGCACCGTGCTCTCCGACGCCCCGTGCTATCCGGTGGCCGTGCTATTGCGTTAGAAGAGCACAGCATGCGACGGCTCAACTCTGACAGCTTTGATAGTGCACTTGAATGAGCCTGTGCCATTCGCCGAGTACACTTAAACAAGTTAAATTGCTGCAGTTGTCTCATGGGAGGCATTGCTTAAGGCAACCCTCTTTCTACTGCAGGGTGGTCAACAACCTGCGAACACCTGCGTTCGAGTAGATGCTGAGAGATGCTGCCGTCGCCTCTGAGAGGCTGGCGATGCTGGCGCCAGGTCGACGTTTGGCCGGTGCGGTCAGAGGTGAGACGGTCTGGTGAATGCGACCGTCGCCACAAGGAAACGGAGGTCGGTGAGAGGTCATCGCTACGGCTGGGTGGAGGAAAAACACATGGTTGGAGGCCATTGCTATTAGAAACAATCGAATAAAGAAGAAGAAGAAGAAGAATAGTGGCTGAAAGTATCTACTATTTGGCCCTTTGAACAGCAGGCCGTGCTGTTTGTCAGTGCGTGCATGCAGTGGGTGCTGTGCAAGCGCCTTTGGATAGCCTCTCAAGTACCCAGAGGAATACCTAGGTGCGGATACCAGAATGAGCCTGCGATGCGCTTCCGTGGGCATGTGATGACGCAAAAACCTGTCTGGGCGAAGTCTGAGTGGTCTATCCTTGCAAGAAATGATCGTGTGATGGTGGTATGTAGTGCAGATTACTTAGGCTCCAATGTTGATTGTACAGCTCAGCTTGTGCTGGTTTTTTGCCGACACTTTTGATTTGGGTGGCGGCCTGTTTGACAGATATCGGCCGGAGCTGCACGTAATTTATAACTAAAAGAGCTTGTCACAGGCGAACCGCCTTCGGCAATAGCGAAAGCAAGAAAGAAAAGTAAGTTTTGGTATCGAAAAACTGTTTCAATTCTCTTAGATGGTGAGGAAGTCTGACTTCCCTGTATATCTCACAACCGGGACCACAACAAACTGTGCGACAAGTGGGATAGTTCACATCAAAAATTAGGGGGTATAGCTATGCGCTTGTTGTGGCAAGCTCCGTTGCAAAGAATATAGGACACGCTTGTTTTGGTCGTGGAATGGACCAAAATCCTGCTGTTGGTTGTGGTACTTCTCATGGTCTTTTGCTCTATCCAGGGTAGACCGATGCAGGTCGCTGCTGTTTGCAAGAGCGTTTTGCAGGGAATGGAGCATGCGCCATGCGCTGGAGGACATCTTAAAGGCCTTATTGCTATTATTCTTATAAATATTGTTAATTTGGCAATATTTGGCATCTAGTCATGTGATCGTTTTAAGACTAAGAATACAAACACCCACACAAAAACGAACCTCCTGCGGGACTCCTGCTGACCCCCCAAAAACTAAGGAGTGGTTTCATGTGACCCCACTCCAACCTCCCGCAGAACTCCTGTTGCCGGCGAGGCGACCCCTCTCAAAAGGGGCCGTGCGTTTTACGCCGTGCGATTTCGGTGTCGATTGAGTTCTCGGACCGTCCGCGAACTCGAGCTCCATGCGCTCCAGATCCTCGCGAAGGCATGCGAAGGCCTACCAAATCATCATGGGAGTGTGGCCACCATCCATAGGACTGGCATACCTGGATCTTCAAACACAACTGATGTCCTAAAAAGCAATTCTTTCGTTGCACCGTTCTGAAGATATCAGCCGCCCATTGAGCCCGAAATCAAGCACCCGCCGTGTTGGCAAATTGCTCAGTCTCATGGTCTTGGGGATGGAATGTGGCCGGAGACTTGGGTGTTCGAAGACTTGTTGGACGAGTAACCAAGAGGCGTCGATCGTGACTTGAGCAAATACGTTAAGTGGAGATTCCAACCTGGGACTCCAACACCAAAAACACAGAAAAGCACCAAACCAAATTTCAAAACATATGTCATGTGTCATGATATGTCATGCTTCAAATCTTTGAATGGTTCAACAAAACACATCAAATCCGTCCAAACTTCCGGTTGATGTCACGTGCACATGTGTCATGGCTCGATTGCTCCTGCAAATTCACGTCAAATCAACCCAAACACTCCATGGGACTGACCTAGCTACCTACACGATCAGGGGATGGTTGAATTCGGCCTATGCCAATGCCGGTCGTCTCTTCTGAGCCCCCTCCCAAATTCGTTGGAGGCCATCGCTAGTAGGTTGGAGGCCATCGCTGGCCATCGCTATGAATCTCAAGATACAAATTCATAGACACATACAGAACAAATGCCTGTGTTGCCCTGTTTGTCTGTCAGGCCTAGATGATAGACACATATAGAACATTTTATCTGTTGGCACTTGTACCATATTGAAGTCTTTCCTGTTCTGAACCATAGCGATGTCCCTTTATTTAAAAATAGTTTATGCGATCGGAATCACCCTTCCCCCTTTCAGCTCCGGCACATCGCTCACGACATCTGCTGGACCAGCATCTGGAGCAGCTCCCGCTCCTTCCGCCTCCGCGACCGTCGGGGGGACCCGGTCGGTTGAGCCGATGCTTTTTCATTTGGATGAGTAGGCTACTAGACTGCCTTGACCACATGATTGTTGAAGTGCAAAACAATCAAGTCAAGTGTCATTTGGATGATTTACTTCGGTCATTCCGATTCTATTTGGGAGGAAAATATTTATAGATGAAGATGCTGCAAGCCAACTCGTTGTGCCACTCACATGGGTTCAAGATCCGTTTTCGAAAAACACATATGGCAGCTCCTTTCTGTTGCTAGCTGCTTGTCCACATGCTGAATTCCTGCAAAATTGCAGCAGCTATAGAAACTCAATGACTTGTTCTGCCCGTTTCGTCATGGTCCTTTGTTTCGTCCCCCCAAGTGCCTGCTCCGACGCTTTGTTCGCTGCAGGCGCTCCCTCCTCCTCCTCCTCCAAACTCATTGGTGAAAATAACATTGGCTCAACAACAACTGCTACCATCTGCACTGAATGCATGTGTGTCCCTGACACATGATAGAACACATTCAGGTCAGCAACAATCACATTTGCTCAACTATACTTCAGGCAGACAAAAGTTTACGCTTGTTGGCCTTCTTATAAAACAC